CACACACACACACACACACACACACACACACACACACACACACACACACTGACACACGCAAATCAAGGATGTCTTTAATCCTTGCCAATTAGTACCACACATGATTGTCTGAATACTAACGACCCATGTGTGTGTGTGTGTGTGTGTGTGTGTGTGTGTGTGTGTGTGTGTGTGTGTGTGTGTGAGTGTGTGTTTAGAGTAATTGATTTCTCTGATGTTGCTTCGTTGCTTTTTATACCTTAGTAAACATCAACATTTCATAAACGTCGCCCGGAGCTCGTGACGATATATCGCTGATGGAAACATCTCAAACATGTATTTATTTAAAACACACACACACACACACACACACACACACACACACACACACACACACACACACACACACACACACACACACACACACACACACACACACACACACACACACACACACATGCTATTGAGTATTAAAGAATATATGTATTACATTTATTCACTTCAAAATGTGTTGGATTGTGAACAAATGTACAAAAAAGTAAAGTATATTATATATATATCATATGGTATGATGAAACTACAAAATGGCATACAGAAAAAACCACATCGTATAGTATGTATACTGTACATTATATTGTATAAACTGTGGGTTTTCTCCGGAAGTTTTTCCTTGTACGATGTGAGGGTCTAAGGACAGAGGGTCTAGGGTCTAAGGACAGAGGGTCTAAGGACAGAGGGTCTAAGGACAGAGGGTCTAAGGACAGAGGGTCTAAGGACAGAGGGTCTAGGGTCTAAGGACAGAGGGTCTAAGGACAGAGGGTCTAAGGACAGAGGGTCTAGGGTCTAAGGACAGAGGGTCTAAGGACAGAGGGTCTAGGGTCTAAGGACAGAGGGTCTAAGGACAGAGGGTCTAAGGACAGAGGGTGTCGTGTTGTCATACTGATATTCTGTACAAACTGTCCACTGAGACAAATGTAACATTTGTGATATTGGGCTAAATAAATAAATATAAATAAACATTGATTGATTGATATGTAAAAAAGTACAGTACGGTGACCTTTAAAAAGAATAAAATACTATGTACAATTAAGTAATGGTATAGTATATTAAAAACAAATGTTAATAGTATAGTATGTAAAAGAAAAAGTAATAGTATAGTATGTCAATAAAAATAAATACAGTATGTACAAAAAAGTCATACTAACTAATAGAAATGTTTTTCTTATTATGTCATCGTTAAAAAAGGTAAATATGTAAACTATTCTCCCCAAAACCTAACCCTTACTCTGTTCTCCCCCCTCAGAAGAGTCCTCTCTGGGGCCGGCGCTCCCCCCCGGGTTCCCCGCTCCCTTCCTGTTCGCTGACGGCCTCTCGTCAGTGGAGACCCTCCTCACCAACATACAGGTACTTTACACTCTTTATTAAAGGTCACCTGTCATGCAAAATCCACATGTCTCTTCTACATCAACATGTGTCCCCTCCTCTTCATGTCTCTTCTACATCAACATGTGTCCCCTCTTCTTCATGTCTCTTCTACATCAACATGTGTCCCCTCCTCTTCATGTCTCTTCTACATCAACATGTGTCCCCTCTTCTTCATGTCTCTTCTACATCAACATGTGTCCCCTCTTCTCCATGTCTCTTCTACATCAACATGTGTCCCCTCTCTCCATGTCTCTTCTACATCAACATGTGTCCCCTCTTCTTCATGTCTCTTCTACATCAACATGTGTCCCCTCTTCTTCATGTCTCTTCTACATCAACATGTGTCCCCTCTTCTTCATGTCTCTTCTACATCAACATGTGTCCCCTCTTCTCCAGTCTCTTCTACATCAACATGTGTTCCCCTCTTCTTCATGTCTCTTCTACATCAACATGTGTCCCCTCTTCTTCATGTCTCTTCTACATCAACATGTGTCCCCTCTTCTTCATGTCTCTTCTACATCAACATGTGTCCCCTCTTCTTCATGTCTCTTCTACATCAACATGTGTCCCCTCTTCTCCATGTCTCTTCTACATCAACATGTGTCCCCTCTTCTTCATGTCTCTTCTACATCAACATGTGTCCCCTCTTCTTCATGTCTCTTCTTCATCAACATGTGTCCCCTCTTCTTCATGTCTCTTCTACATCAACATGTGTCCCCTCTTCTTCATGTCTCTTCTACATCAACATGTGTCCCCTCTTCTTCATGTCTCTTCTACATCAACATGTGTCCCCTCTTCTTCATGTCTCTTCTACATCAACATGTGTCCCCTCTTCTTCATGTCTCTTCTACATCAACATGTGTCCCCTCTTCTTCATGTCTCTTCTTCATCAACACGTGTCCCCTCTTCTTCATGTCTCTTCTACATGAACATGTGTCCCCTCTTCCTCATGTCTCTTCTACATCAACATGTGTCCCCTCTTCTTCATGTCTCTTCTACATGAACATGTGTCCCCTCTTCCTCATGTCTCTTCTACATCAACATGTGTCCCCTCTTCCTCATGTCTCTTCTACATCAACATGTGTCCCCTCTTCTTCATGTCTCTTCTACATCAACATGTGTCCCCTCTTCTTCATGTCTCTTCTACATCAACATGTGTCCCCTCTTCTTCATGTCTCTTCTTCATCAACACGTGTCCCCTCTTCTTCATGTCTCTTCTACATGAACATGTGTCCCCTCTTCCTCATGTCTCTTCTACATCAACATGTGTCCCCTCTTCTTCATGTCTCTTCTACATCAACATGTGTCCCCTCTTCTTCATGTCTCTTCTACATCAACATGTGTCCCCTCTTCCTCATGTCTCTTCTACATCAACATGTGTCCCCTCTTCCTCATGTCTCTTCTACATCAACATGTGTCCCCTCTTCTTCATGTCTCTTCTACATCAACATGTGTCCCCTCTTCTTCATGTCTCTTCTACATCAACATGTGTCCCCTCTTCTCCATGTCTCTTCTACATCAACATGTGTCCCCTCTTCATGTCTCCTCTACATCAACATGTGTCCCCTCTTCTTCATGTCTCTTCTACATCAACATGTGTCCCCTCTTCTTCATGTCTCTTCTACATCAACATGTGTCCCCTCTTCTTCATGTCTCTTCTACATCAACATGTGTCCCCTCTTCTTCATGTCTCTTCTACATCAACATGTGTCCCCTCTTCTTCATGTCTCTTCTACATCAGCATGTGTCCCCTTTTCTTCATGTCTCTTCTACATCAACATGTGTCCCCTCTTCTTCATGTCTCTTCTACATCAACATGTGTCCCCTCTTCTTCATGTCTCTTCTACATCAACATGTGTCCCCTCTTCTTCATGTCTGTTCTACATCAACGTGTGTCCCCTCTTCTTCATGTCTCTTCTACATCAACACGTGTCCCCTCTTCTTCATGTCTCTTCTACATCAACATGTGTCCCCTCTTCTTCATGTCTCTTCTACATCAACATGTGTCCCCTCTTCTTCATGTCTCTTCTACATCAACGTGTGTCCCCTCTTCTTTATGTCTCTTCTACATCAACATGTGTCCCCTCTTCTTCATGTCTCTTCTACATCAACATGTGTCCTCTCTTCTTCATGTCTCTTCTACATCAACACGTGTCCCCTCTTCTTCATGTCTCTTCTACATCAACACGTGTCCCCTCTTCTTCATGTCTCTTCTACATCAACATGTGTCCCCTCTTCTTCATGTCTCTTCTACATCAACATGTGTCCCCTCTTCTTCATGTCTCTTCTACATCAACATGTGTCCCCTCTTCTACATCAACGTGTGTCCCCTTCTTCTTCATGTCTCTTCTACATCAACATGTGTCCCCTCTTCTTCATGTCTCTTCTACATCAACATGTGTCCCCTCTTCTTCATGTTTCTTCTACATCAACATGTGTCCCCTCTTCTTCATGTCTCTTCTACATCAACATGTGTCCCCTCTTCTCCATGTCTCTTCTACATCAACATGTGTCCCCTCTTCTTCATGTCTCTTCTACATCAACATGTGTCCCTTCTTCTTCATGTCTCTTCTACATCAATATGTGTCCCCTCTTCTTCAAGATGTGAAATATACAATTCTTCTACTTAAGAATCCAATAGCACCAGAAAACTGTAGGTAATGTAGAGCGTATTATTTACTGTTAATGAACTGCAGTTGTCGATCCAGCAAAGTGGTGAAACAGAATAAAGTCAAATCGAATACCTTTTTTTATCAAGATATTTAATTCCTGCTGCTTATAATTTGACATGTAGGTAATCTAAAGTACTTATAGTGTTGTTCTTCATCCTCTTCCTCTTCCTCACGTGTTCCTCAGGGTCTTCTGAAGGTGGCCGTGGAGAACGCCCGGGTTCAGGACAAACAGATCCAGGCGGAGAAACGAGAGCTGAAGATGGAGCTGTACAGAGAGCGAGAGATGAGAGAGAGTCTGGAGAGACAGCTCACCTCCGAACTACAGAGCAGAGGTGAGCAGAGACAGAGAGACACAGAGACAGAGAGAAGGGGGACATTTAACAGAGACACAGGACACATTTCACAGAGACACAGGACACATTTCACAGAGATATAGGAGACATTTCACAGAGACACAGGACACATTTCACAGAGACACAGGACACATTTCACAGAGACACAGGACACATTTCAGAGAGACACAGGACACATTTCACAGAGACACAGGACACATTTCACAGAGACACAGGACACATTTCACAGAGATATAGGAGACATTTCATAGAGACACAGTTCCTGTAAAACATTCTCAACATAAAGCAGCGAGAGACCACGTAAATAAACGAGTCTTAGTATAGTATGTCAAATATATTGGGAAAAAAGTCGTAGCATGTCGAAAATATCAGAAAAAAGTCATAGTAGAAAATATTGAAAAAAAACATAGTATGTCGAAAATATTGATAAAAAGTCTTAGAAAAGTCAAAATATAGCATGTCGAAAATATCGGAATAAAGTCAAAGTATAGCATGTTGAAAATATTGGAATAAAGTCAAAGTATAGCATGTTGAAAATATCGGAATAAAGTCAAAGTATAGCATGTTGAAAATATCGGAATAAAGTCAAAGTATAGCATGTTGAAAATATTGGAATAAAGTCAAAGTATAGCATGTTGAAAATATTGGAATAAAGTCAAAGTATAGCATGTTGAAAATATCGGAATAAACTCAAAGTATAGCATGTTGAAAATATCGGAATAAACTCAAAGTATAGCTTGTTGAAAATATCGGAATAAACTCAAAGTATAGCATGTTGAAAATATCGGAATAAACTCAAAGTATAGCATGTTGAAAATATCGGAATAAACTCAAAGTATAGCATGTTGAACATTTTGAATAAAACAAAAAGTCAAAATATAGCATGTCGAATTTATCAACAAAAGTCGAAGTATGGTATGTCGAAAAAATCGGGAAAAAGTCGTATGTAGGAAATATCAAAAAAGGTCATAGAATAGTATCTAGAAAATATTTTTAAAAATCTCAATATAGAGGCATAGTATATTACGTCGAAAAACTTGGAATATCGGGAAAAAAGTCATAGTATGTCTAAATCAATGGGAAAAGTCATAGTGTGTCTAAATCAATGGGGAAAAGTCATAGTGTGTCTAAATCAATGGGAAAAGTCATAGTGTGTCTAAATCAATGGGGAAAAGTCATAGTGTGTCTAAATCAATGGGGAAAAGTCATAGTGTGTCTAAATCAATGGGGAAAAGTCATAGTGTGTCTAAATCAATGGGGAAAAGTCATAGTATGTCTAAATCAATGGGAAAAGTCATAGTATGTCTAAATCAATGGGGAAAAGTCATAGTATGTCTAAATCAATGGGAAAAGTCATAGTGTGTCTAAATCAATGGGAAAAGTCATAGTATGTCTAAATCAATGGGAAAGGTCATAGTGTGTCTAAATCAATGGGGAAAAGTCATAGCATGTCTAAATCAATGGGGAAAAGTCATAGTATGTCTAAATCAATGGGAAAAGTCATAGTATGTCTAAATCAATGGGAAAGGTCATAGCATGTCTAAATCAATGGGGAAAAGTCATAGTATGTCTAAATCAATGGGAAAAGTCATAGTATGTCTAAATCAATGGGAAAGGTCATAGTGTGTCTAAATCAATGGGGAAAAGTCATAGTATGTCTAAATCAATGGGGAAAGTCATAGTGTGTCTAAATCAATGGGAAAAGTCATAGTGTGTCTAAATCAATGGGGAAAGTCATAGTGTGTCTAAATCAATGGGGAAAAGTCATAGTGTGTCTAAATCAATGGGAAAAGTCATAGTATGTCTAAATCAATGGGGAAAAGTCATAGTGTGTCTAAATCAATGGGGAAAAGTCATAGTGTGTCTAAATCAATGGGAAAAGTCATAGTGTGTCTAAATCAATGGGGAAAAGTCATAGTGTGTCTAAATCAGGGGTCACCAACCTTTTTTAGGATGAGGGCTACTTTCAAAAAATAAAACAAGTCGGGGCTACTTTTACTCCTCTTTTTTTTGTTTTTTGCAGTGTATATATTTAGCACATTTTAACATTATTATATGCTTATCTTTAACCTTTGTGTGCTGTTTGAGTCTTTGGGACCCGTTTTCAGTGTTTACTAAAATAACATGCAATTTAATTATTTTAACCTGCTTTATTTGGGGGTGGACGGGCCTCACCTCCTCTAGGGGGGGGCCTCACATCCTCCAGGGGGGACCTCACCTCCTCTAAGTGAAATGCATCAATCTGGTGCACTTTGAGCACAACATGAATTTATGGATACAGCTCTCAACACTCAGATGAAAGGGAGCTGTATACTTTTCAAGAATCCAAACATCTTTAGATTATGATCACAACCAATAATAAATCATTTAAACTTGTTTATTCTTATCTTGTGTTACCACATTCTTTCTTTTTATTTATGCATATTTTACTAATCACTCCCCTTTTAAACTGTTTTTGTACTGTCCTATTGTACACATTGGAATGATTTCTTACTTTCTCTATATTAAATAGATAAAGGGGTACACACACACACACACACACACACACACACACACACACACACACACACACACACACACACACAGGCTGTATGCTCCTCCGTGGCGATGACGGCTTGCGTTCACGAATAATAATAAACATATTTGTAAAGTGGGGGGACACAAACGGGATTTCGAAAAGTGCTGGGGACATGTCCCCCCTGGAGATTACGCCATGCGTGTGTGTGCGTCAAGTGCAATAAATAAATATGCAAGTTGCAACACACACAGTAAAACTCTGCCCCTCATGTGCTGTATATAGGCTGGCATGATGGGCTGTTCAATGGGGCTGATGTGTTGTGTAGATTCTGCCAGAAGGAAAATCAGCGGGGAGGTGCCACATTGCTTTTCTTCCCGACTGCAACGCTGGTCCATGGATGTATAATAAGAACGCGCTGGTCCCGCAAATCAAGCAAGAACGTGATTGGTCGATATTCATTGTGGGGGTGGGGGGAGGAGGGGTGTTAGATATAGAGTTGTAGTAAGTAGATAGAGTTTGCTATGATTTAGGTTTCGTTTGTGCATGTGGTAGATTCTTTTAATTACATTTCCTTTTTTGTTTTGTGTATTTTATACATTTTGGATTTTCTTGGCGAGCTATTTTTAGAACGTGCCCGGCGGGCGCCTCACGTTGCCCCTGCGGGCGACTGAGTGCCCGCGGGCACCGTGTTGGCTACCCCTGGTCTAAAACAATGGGAAAAGTCATAGTGTGTCTAAATCAATGGGAAAAGTCATAGTATGTCTAAAACAATGGGAAAAGTCATAGTGTGTCTAAATCAATGGGGAAAAGTCATAGTATGTCTAAATCAATGGGAAAAGTCATAGTATGTCTAAATCAATGGGGAAAAGTCATAGTATGTCTAAATCAATGGGGAAAAGTCATAGTATGTCTAAAGCAATGGGGAAAGGTCATAGTGTGTCTAAATCAATGGGGAAAGTCATAGTGTGTCTAAATCAATGGGGAAAAGTCATAGTATGTCTAAATCAATGGGGAAAGGTCATAGTGTGTCTAAATCAATGGGGAAAGTCATAGTATGTCTAAATCAATGGGGAAAGTCATAGTGTGTCTAAATCAATGGGGAAAGTCATAGTGTGTCTAAATCAATGGGGAAAAGTCATAGTATGTCTAAATCAATGGGGAAAGTCATAGTGTGTCTAAATCAATGGGGAAAAGTCATAGTGTGTCTAAATCAATGGGGAAAGTCATAGTGTGTCTAAATCAATGGGGAAAAGTCATAGTATGTCTAAATCAATGGGGAAAGGTCATAGTGTGTCTAAATCAATGGGGAAAAGTCATAGTGTGTCTAAATCAATGGGGAAAAGTCATAGTGTGTCTAAATCAATGGGGAAAAGTCATAGTGCTTCTAAATCAATGGGAAAAGTCATAGTATGTCTAAATCAATGGGGAAAGGTCATAGTGTGTCTAAATCAATGGGGAAAAGTCATAGTATGTCTAAATCAATGGGGAAAAGTCATAGTGTGTCTAAATCAATGGGGAAAAGTCATAGTATGTCTAAATCAATGGGGAAAGTCATAGTATGTCTAAATCAATGGGGAAAAGTCATAGTGTGTCTAAATCAATGGGGAAAAGTCATAGTATGTCTAAATCAATGGGAAAGGTCATAGTGTGTCTAAATCAATGGGGAAAAGTCATAGTATGTCTAAATCAATGGGGAAAAGTCATAGTATGTCTAAATCAATGGGAAAAGTCATAGTATGTCTAAATCAATGGGGAAAAGTCATAGTATGTCTAAATCAATAGGGAAAGTCATAGTGTGTCTAAATCAATGGGGAAAAGTCATAGTATGTCTAAATCAATGGGGAAAGGTCATAGTGTGTCTAAATCAATGGGGAAAAGTCATAGTGTGTCTAAATCAATGGGGAAAAGTCATAGTGTGTCTAAATCAATGGGGAAAAGTCATAGTGTGTCTAAATCAATGGGGAAAAGTCATAGTGTGTCTAAATCAGGGGTCACCAACCTTTTTTAGGATGAGGGCTACTTTCAAAAAATAAAACAAGTCGGGGCTACTTTTACTCCTCTTTTTTTTGTTTTTTGCAGTGTATATATTTAGCACATTTTAACATTATTATATACTTATCTTTAACCTTTGTGTGCTGTTTGGGTCTTTGGGACCCGTTTTCAGTGTTTACTAAAATAACATGCAATTTAATTATTTTAACCTGCTTTATTTGGGGGTGGACGGGCCTCACCTCCTCTAGGGGGGGGCCTCACATCCTCCAGGGGGGACCTCACCTCCTCTAAGTGAAATGCATCAATCTGGTGCACTTTGAGCACAACATGAATTTATGGATACAGCTCTCAACACTCAGATGAAAGGGAGCTGTATACTTTTCAAGAATCCAAACATCTTTAGAATATGATCACAACCAATAATAAACCATTTAAACTTGTTTATTCTTATCTTGTGTTACCACATTCTTTCTTTTTATTTATGCATATTTTACTAATCACTCCCCTTTTAAACTGTTTTTGTACTGTCCTATTGTACACATTGGAATGATTTCTTACTTTCTCTATATTAAATAGATAAAGGGGTACACACACACACACACACACACACACACACATACACATACACACACACACACACACACACACACACACACACACACACACACACACAGGCTGTATGCTCCTCCGTGGCGATGACGGCTTGCGTTCACAAATAATAATAAACATATTTGTAAAGTGGGGGGACACAAACGGGATTTCGAAAAGTGCTGGGGACATGTCCCCCCTGGAGATTACGCCATGCGTGTGTGTGCGTCAAGTGCAATAAATAAATATGCAAGTTGCAACACACACAGTAAAACTCTGCCCCTCATGTGCTGTATATAGGCTGGCATGATAGGCTGTTCAATGGGGCTGATGTGTTGTGTAGATTCTGCCAGAAGGGAAATCAGCGGGGAGGTGCCACATTGCTTTTCTTCCCGACTGCAACGCTGGTCCATGGATGTATAATAAGAACGCGCTGGTCCCGCAAATCAAGCAAGAACGTGATTGGTCGATATTCATTGTGGGGGTGGGGGGAGGAGGGGTGTTAGATATAGAGTTGTAGTAAGTAGATAGAGTTTGCTATGATTTAGGTTTCGTTTGTGCATGTGGTAGATTCTTTTAATTACATTTCCTTTTTTGTTTTGTGTATTTTATACATTTTGGATTTTCTTGGCGAGCTATTTTTAGAACGTGCCCGGCGGGCGCCTCACGTTGCCCCTGCGGGCGACTGAGTGCCCGCGGGCACCGTGTTGGCTACCCCTGGTCTAAAACAATGGGAAAAGTCATAGTGTGTCTAAATCAATGGGAAAAGTCATAGTATGTCTAAAACAATGGGAAAAGTCATAGTGTGTCTAAATCAATGGGGAAAAGTCATAGTATGTCTAAATCAATGGGAAAAGTCATAGTATGTCTAAATCAATGGGGAAAAGTCATAGTATGTCTAAATCAATGGGGAAAAGTCATAGTATGTCTAAAGCAATGGGGAAAGGTCATAGTGTGTCTAAATCAATGGGAAAAGTCATAGTGTGTCTAAATCAATGGGAAAAGTCATAGTATGTCTAAATCAATGGGAAAAGTCATAGTGTGTCTAAATCAATGGGAAAAGTCATAGAATGTCTAAATCAATGGGGAAAAGTCATAGTGTGTCTAAATCAATGGGAAAAGTCATAGTATGTCTAAATCAATGGGAAAAGTCATAGTGTGTCTAAATCAATGGGGAAAAGTCATAGTATGTCTAAATCAATGGGGAAAGTCATAGTATGTCTAAATCAATGGGGAAAGGTCATAGTGTGTCTAAATCAATGGGGAAAAGTCATAGTGTGTCTAAATCAATGGGGAAAAGTCATAGTGTGTCTAAATCAATGGGGAAAAGTCATAGTATGTCTAAATCAATGGGGAAAAGTCATAGTATGTCTAAATCAATGGGAAAAGTCATAGTATGTCTAAATCAATGGGGAAAAGTCATAGTATGTCTAAATCAATGGGGAAAGTCATAGTGTGTCTAAATCAATGGGGAAAAGTCATAGTATGTCTAAATCAATGGGAAAGGTCATAGTGTGTCTAAATCAATGGGGAAAAGTCATAGTGTGTCTAAATCAATGGGGAAAAGTCATAGTGTGTCTAAATCAATGGGGAAAAGTCATAGTGTGTCTAAATCAATGGGGAAAAGTCATAGTATGTCTAAATCAATGGGGAAAAGTCATAGAATGTCTAAATCAATGGGGAAAAGTCATAGTGTGTCTAAATCAATGGGAAAAGTCATAGTATGTCTAAATCAATGGGAAAAGTCATAGTGTGTCTAAATCAATGGGGAAAAGTCATAGTATGTCTAAATCAATGGGGAAAGTCATAGTATGTCTAAATCAATGGGGAAAGGTCATAGTGTGTCTAAATCAATGGGGAAAAGTCATAGTATGTCTAAATCAATGGGGAAAGTCATAGTATGTCTAAATCAATGGGGAAAGGTCATAGTGTGTCTAAATCAATGGGGAAAAGTCATATTATGTCTAAATCAATGGGAAAAGTCATAGTATGTCTAAATCAATGGGGAACAGTCATAGTGTGTCTAAATCAATGGGAAAAGTCATAGTATGTCTAAATCAATGGGGAAAGTCATAGTATGTCTAAATCAATGGGGAAAGGTCATAGTGTGTCTAAATCAATGGGGAAAAGTCATATTATGTCTAAATCAATGGGAAAAGTCATAGTATGTCTAAATCAATGGGGAAAGTCATAGTGTGTCTAAATCAATGGGGAAAGGTCATAGTGTGTCTAAATCAATGGGGAAAAGTCATAGTATGTCTAAATCAATGGGGAAAAGTCATAGTGTGTCTAAATCAATGGGGAAAAGTCATAGTATGTCTAAATCAATGGGAAAGGTCATAGTGTGTCTAAATCAATGGGGAAAAGTCATAGTATGTCTAAATCAATGGGGAAAAGTCATAGTATGTCTAAATCAATGGGAAAAGTCATAGTATGTCTAAATCAATGGGGAAAAGTCATAGTATGTCTAAATCAATGGGGAAAGTCATAGTGTGTCTAAATCAATGGGGAAAAGTCATAGTATGTCTAAATCAATGGGAAAGGTCATAGTGTGTCTAAATCAATGGGGAAAAGTCATAGTGTGTCTAAATCAATGGGGAAAAGTCATAGTGTGTCTAAATCAATGGGGAAAGGTCATAGTTTGTCTAAATCAATGGGAAAGGTCATAGCATGTCTAAATCAATGGGGAAAAGTCATAGTTTGTCTAAATCAATGGGGGAAAGTCATAGTATGTCTACATCAATGGGAAAGGTCATAGTGTGTCTAAATCAATGGGGAAAAGTCATAGTATGTCTAAATCAATGGGGAAAAGTCATAGTATGTCTAAATCAATGGGAAAAGTCATAGTATGTCTAAATCAATGGGGAAAAGTCATAGTATGTCTAAATCAATGGGAAAAGTCATAGTATGTCTAAATCAATGTGAAAAGTCATAGTATGTCTAAATCAATGGGAAAAGTCATAGTATGTCTAAATCAATGGGAAAAGTCATAGTATGTCTAAATCAATGGGAAAAGTCATAGTATGTCTAAATCAATGGGGAAAAGTCATAGTATGTCTAAATCAATGGGGAAAAGTCATAGTATGTCTAAATCAATGGGGAAAAGTGATAGTATGTCTAAATCAATGGGGAAAAGTGATAGTATGTCTAAATCAATGGG